CTTGGAACCAATGTACCATGGATACCATGGGATGACTGTACACTATCATTTGGTAAAGCTGAAAATTGACATCAAATGAAAAACACTATAATACAAGAGGCTTGATGGAATCATATCACAAAGGCTCTGCATTGTGGCCTGTGACTGAGCATATGGCCTCTGCTCATTAGAAAAGGCGCCACTATGAAATACCTCTATAAAGAAGGATAAAAAACCTGTCTTAACCTCAGAAAGATTTCCCTGGGGCAAATCAGAATAAATTGGAATTACAAAAAGGCAGAGGACTGTAGCAATCTAGAATATTCTAGACTACTTTTTCTTGAGTCTGAGTAAAATGCCCACCCACTATGACTGTCATCTGATAATGAACTAAAACATTTCTGAAGTCAACTCATTAAACACAGGAAAAAAATAAATCACATTACTGTAAGACAAATGTAGACAGTGATGCCAATAACAAAATTTCTCCAGGCAGCTAATGATTGACAGCAAGACAGAAAGAAAACAAGTTAGGTTTGACCATATAGATAATTAAAATGTAAGTGAAAAAACTAAGCTAACTGAATGTCCTGGGGTCCCAAAGATAACTTAGGGACAGCATGGAGACCTAAAGGAAAGACCATGGCAACTCTCTTAATGGTGGGGGCAAATGAAGTGTTCCAAAGAAAACTAAAGAGCAACAAAAAGAAGAGATCACAGTTTTAAGAAATAAATGATAGGTGCTGTAAGGCTTCAACAAAAATACCAAGTTGTCCCAATGGATTTGGCAGTTCAGAGACCTTTGGGAATACCTTTTTTGCTGCGTGATTAAAAATTGAGATTAAAATAAAATTACAGTGAAATGAGGAAGGAGTGAAAGATGAGGAAATGAGGGCACAAATTTCTAAGAATTAGGTTGGAGATAATTATTAACAAAAGCCCAAATCAAGAAAATGGTTGGCTGTTTATTAAGACAACAAACTTGAGACTTTTTTCCCATAAAAATGTGTCTCAGTTAAATTTCAACAAAGAAATTCTGTATGCCAGTCAGTGACCAAACTGTCCAAATTAATTTCATGATCCACAGTTCTTATATTTTTTTTATAGTACTGATAGGCACATCACAGTAAACAAATATACAGGTAGTACATTTCACTTTTAGTTCCCAGTTAACATAAATTCTACCTGCCCGTATTTTTTTTCTCAGCTCATTCATATTCTATAATTGGGTATGAAGTCCAGGAAGAACTGGAAGGGAAGATAACCTGAAATGCAAGATGCTTTTCCCTATTCCTTGCTCTTTCAGCAGACAGTATACACATCTCAGTCTTTCATTAAGAAACAACATCTCTTTCAGGCTCTGCATGTTTAACATTCTATATTGCAGTCACTTCCATCTGCAGTATACATACAGGAGGCTACAAGAACTAGACAAAAGGCCAGGAAAAGCTGTGTATGGTGGCACAGGCCTACAATCCCAGCTCTTTAGGAAGCTGAGGCAGGAGAATCTCTCAAGTTCAAGTCCTGCCTGGGTTACAGAATAAGTTACAAACCAGCATGGACAATGGTCTCAAAAAGAAAAGGGCTAGGAATGTAGTTCAGTGATACAACGCTTGCTAATCCTAGATTAGATCCCCAGAACTACAAGAAACCTAATGAAAGGAAGGGAGAGAGAGGAGAGAAAAGCAGAGAGGGATGGGGGAACATGTATCAGGGTACAAAAGGATTCAAAACTTTCCTGACTATCTTATCTGAAGAAAACTGTCAGAGCCAAAGATTAGGCTTAACTTTTTCCTGAATGAGCAATGTGCTCTAAAATCAGTAGCATTTTGTTTATATATCATAGTAGTTATAATCAGGTAGGAGAGAGAATAGCGATGCCAGCACTCTGAAAATCTAAAATTCATCATGTTACTTAAAAGGTCTAAAAATATTCTGAAAAGAATGGCTTTTGTCCTCTCTTCCTCAGACAGTAGTAGTCAGGTCAAGGGGAAACAAATACTCACTGCACCATTCCAGCACTGGTAACCTAACTAGAGGCCTTAGAATGACCTCAATATTCTCCTCCACAGATGTGTTGCAATTGTTTATTATTGATCTTTAGGTAGGTAAAAGAGACTTTCAGGTTAGAATTGCTTTCAATATTTTATGGTCTACTGAAAACAGAAATAAGAACTTCTAAAGATGTTGAGATTAAAATATAATGTCAAATTCAAGAAAATAATTACAAAACAAAGGTAGAAAGATTGTGGTTATCAATCAGTATTTATTGAAAGGTGGAAGACAAGGAAAATAACCCCTCAACCTCCAAAAACAAATCTGTACTCTGGCTAAATATAAAATGAAACATTCACTTTACGTATCAATAACTTGTCAAAAAAAATAGAAAGCAAGTTTACCAAACAGTGCTAATTTATTATTTACAAAAAAAAAAAAAAGAACAAGAAAACTTACCTGCCATAGTAGAGCATTTGGGAAAAACTGTTTTACTTTTGGGTACATTAATTAAATGTCTTAAAGATGTAACCTAAGAAAGAAAATTGTTCCTATTGTCAAGAACACCCCTCCCATTTGTAGAAACAAACATATTTCAAACTTATACAGAAAAAACACACATGAACACATACATACACAGTGTTGTGCTAAATCAACCTGATCTTTAAGGTCAACAGTCTTGTCACAGGGAAGATAATCAATATATGGCTTTAAGTAAATTTGTAACTAAATATCAAAAATGTTTAATTCTTTAGCTAGCTAACCAGCTAACCTGAGCATGGAATATATATTACTTAGATGACTAAGAGGATATAAATAAAATTAGGAGAAGGGGGGGGAGCTCTATAGCAAACACCACTGAGGTACCTAAGTTTTTTTAATGTAAAAGTATATCCACTTAATAATTTATATAACATTCATTCTATATAGCATACGATCATAATGAAACTGTATCTTAAGTGCTTTATTGTTCTGGTCCAAGATATTGGAAATAAAAACAAAAATTTTATATTCACAGAAAACTGGAATGTACTAACTAGAAAACTACTAATATGCAATATTAAAATAGAATTTGTGTAACAAAGGTAGTCAACAAGTTCTCAGATGCCATCTGAAGATAATTTTTAAAATATAACCCGTAAGACCAGGGACATAAGCATGATTCAAGTCTATAATAAGGCTGTATCTTGATATCTTGAGCCCACTGGTTCACACATACTTTACTTACACAAAGATGTATGTATTTACAAAGCAATTAAATACTCAAATAATGGGTGTGACTATGAGTTACATAAGAAACTATACCTAAAAGCAACAACTGTAATTATTTTAGTTCCTTTAGCTAAAATTTTAAGGCTCACAGAGTTTGGAGACACCCTAACAGCATTTTCTTACAGTATGACCTTGGTTATCTAATTATACACTACTGGAAATAAAATATACCTTCTTAGATATGTCAACTTCAATTTAAAAAATAAAATTGAACCATACCCCTTCCAATTTCTCAATACTGGTTTGTTAAGAACTTTTATTTCCCAAAATGATGGTGGAGAACCCTAAATTTAGCTTAAAGGAGAAGATTAAATAAGTTCAGTGAAAGGTAAGACATAACATATAAAACAAAACCCTATTTACACTGTCATGATTTTTAATTCCCCTATATAATGAAATTTCACCCACTGCAAAAATACTCATTTCCTAAAAACCATCAAGATCTCCTACAGTATTTGCCTATCTTTTTATCAAATTAGGAGGCAATAAGTGTTGACGTCATTGCTGAAGCTTATTTTTACTTGTTCTGGTGAAAAGCATTTTTGTAAGAGGCTTCTCCCTAACTAGAAGTATGAACTTTCTTGGGTTACCATAAATGAGATGAAAATGAAACAGCAAAAGTCTCTCAAAAGGCAACACAGCACAAGGAAAGCCAAGTGAAAGCCATCAACTAAGCAATGGGCTCAGAATAATACAACGAACAGAACATTTGCAGTCAATTCCTTACATCCTGTACACATCAAATACTTTTAGTTTTTAATTACAGAAGTGGAAGCAGTTTGAAATTGTGCTCAAGTCCATGCTGAAGAGATCTGTTCACTCATCTTCATTTAGGCACTGGCAATTCTGTTTCCCAGTAGGGTTACTTTCTAGGCTATCTTCAACAAAGAAGTACACCAAGTTGTTTGCCTTGCTAAGGTAGAGAGGGGTCCTGAGGAAGATGAGGTCATACAGCACTGTTATATCTCTGTACATGGCAGGTGAATCACTGTCATTGGCCTTGTTTCAAAATTTTGTTTTTGTGATATGGAAAATGTAAATAAAAGACTTTTAATTGCTCACAATTAAATTTTCTGTAATTAAAGATTTTTTTAAAAAAACTCAGCTACTAGCTGGGCGTGGTAGTGCATGCCTTTAATCCCAGCACTCAGGAGGCAGACGGATCTCTGTGAGTTCAAGGCCAGCCTGGTCTCCATAGCAAATCCAGGCCACCTATCCTCTTTTTTTTTTTTTAAAAAAAAAAAAAAAAAAAAAAAAAAAAAAAAAAAAAAAAACCAGCTACTATTAAGTATAATACAGGTACTTATTAGTAAGAAAATTTTCTAAATATATTACTTTCACAACAAAGAAAATTACATGAGGGCTAAAAATCTGGGCATGTAGCTTCACCAGATAAGAGACCACCAATGCACTTTGCTTCTCCCAACTGCTGAAACTAGTCACTACACTGCATGTTAATGTTGAATATAAATGTTTAAATGTATTCCAGGAAGTAGCACTAAACATTTTCACATATTTATCAACTTAAGAAATTGTGCAAAATGATACACATACACACTCTCTCTCACACACACATATACACACTCTCTCTCTCTCAAACACTTTGAGAATAGAATCCTGTTTTTTAAAATGCTTGCACAGTGTGGGAAATTTAAATATTTAGTAGATTTGAATATATACATTTTCACTCCATTACCTCTCAAAATGGATATACTAACAGAAACATTAATATATAAAACAATTAAACTGAACTGTCAGTTTCTCTCTAAAACTCAACAGAAAACATTTATTATTATGAACCTTTATTAAGTGGCTCACATTTCAGTATAAAGCACACTAAAAAGATTTTTTACAAAGCTATTTACACTACAGTGCTGACACATTTTAAAATGGAAAAAAATGGTATAAATAAGCTCTATGGAAAAGCCTTAAATCTTCAAAAAATTTCTGGCTCATATTTATATATATATATAATGTCAGCTTTATTCTAAAACCTACAACTTCAACTCCAGTGAGTTTTTTAAAGACTCTTATGTTAAACCTGCAATGTTACCAGTGCACCTGACCCTAAGTGCTGATACTTCACAGTTACGGACAGGCACTGAGGAATGGTACAAAGCTACACAAACTGTATTTTGTAACAGACTTGCGAAGTCCTACACCTGCTTTCAGATTTCATGAATCATTATGATCTTTTTTTTTTTTTTTAAGAATTTTAAATGCTATGTACAAATTTAGCACAAAATGTCATCATCATTTTTATCCTGATTTGAATGTACAGAGCTACATTGCCTTGTATCAACTATATTTATAAGACTTCCAGGACATAATTCTTCCTTTAATTCTTTGTTGCTATTTTCAAATTTAGAATCCATGCCAATCTTCAAATCTGTAAATTGAACACGATCCACTTTTGCCTTAGCATTCTTGCCATCTAAACTATTTGGTGCTCTAGTCTTTTCAGTAATATTAACTTTCACAGGTTCTTCCTTGATTCTTATACATGCAATTGGTTCATGTTTAATTTGTTGTAATTCATGTTTAGAATGAAGTTTGTCTGAAAACACAGAGTCCAAGGAGGTTTTGTTCACAGCACAAGTCTTGTTGTCAGTATGAGGTCCAAGAACTGATGATGTGGGATCTGGGGATCTGCCTGTTTCATGAGCAACTGTGCTGTGAGATGTGTCCTCCTTTACATGATATAATTTAAGCCGAACATGCCAGGCTAAACTGCATACAGCTGAAACTGTCTTGAACTGATGAACAACATTCCTTGGAATAAAATAAATGTCATTATCATACAGCTGAATCCTAGCATAGCGAATGCCTTCCCTCCTCAGTTGATTAAGTTTTGCATCATCAACCCACTGGACACACTAAAAAAGAAAAGAAACAAAAATACAAGTAAGTCTTTTCAACAATCAAATATAAAGTAAAGACAATAACTATTTAACTTTTACCTGGGACAGTGGAGGTTCATGTAAATCTAATTGCATTCGCTGAACTACTTCTAAGAAATCTTCTGCATGAAAACAAATTACATCTTTGGTTATTCGGGGTTGATCAGGCCTTTAAAGAAAAGGGGTAATAACAAAGAACCTGCCATTAATGTCTCATTCTATTAAGCCCTTAATAAATTTGAAACAAAAGCAGCTTATGATCAAGAGCGAAGTCTTTTTACACATAAAGAACACTTTATATGTTCAAAGAGTTTACACCATGAATTTCAACCTAAACCATTTAACAACTTGCTTCATTTTAGTACAGCTGTCACAAGGTTTTGAAAAAATTAAAACAATTTGTATCAATAAATTATGCAAATCATAAAAACTAAATGTCTCAGGGCTGGAGAGATGGCTCAGCAGTTAAGAGCACTGACTGCTCTTGCAGAGGACCCAGGTTCGATTTCTAGCATCCACATGGCAACTAAGAACCATCCTTAACTCCAGTTCCAAGGGAATCCGACACCTTCTTCTGACCTCCGGGGCACTGCACGGCATGGGTGCACTCACATACATGCAGGCAATAGACTCATACACATAAAAAAAAAAAATATTTTTAAAAAGCTAGATGTCTCATTTTAAAGTTAAGTTCAGTATTTCTTCAACTTAAGTGCTAAAACTGCAAATGCTACAAAAAAGCAGCTGAGGAAGCATGGAGGACACATACCATATGTTCCCAATTTCATGTGCAAATAAATTAAAAGAGTTGTTCTTATAAAAGTGAAAAACAGGACAGTGTTACCCGAGACTAGGAAGTGGAGGAATGGGATATGGAGAGGAGATGGTTAATGGTACATCTGGATAACAGGAATAACTTGAAATATTCTATAACATAGGGGAACTATGGTTAACATTTAATGCATATTGCAAAATAAGTAGAAGAGTGGTGTTTATTTCCAACACTCAGAAATGATGTATGTTGAGGTCTATGTTTGAAGCACCCTGCTCTTTATATAGTACCTACCTGTGTTGAAATATCACAGTGTACCATAAATACATTCATTCTATCATTCATCTTCTTCTAATTCTAAGTATGGTCAGAGGTGATTCATGCCTATAAATCACAGTACTAGGGAGGGAGAGGCAAGAAGATCACTTGAGGTCAAGGCCAGCTTGGGCTACAGAGCCTCAAAAAACCCTAAGTATGAGGGGAAAAGCAATACTTTCTTGCCACAGAACATATATAACCATGTTGATACATACAACTCTTAAGTAACTCTTTATATCTTATTTCCTAACTGTAATTATTAGTGCACATTAACTGTACATATTAATGGGGTTTAGAAACAATAATGTTCATTTAAAAACTCATTCTTTCATTGGAGATATTAAAAAAATTTTTAATTGCAAAAAAAATTCTCAAATTCTTCAACTACAAATATATTTTTATAGAAGATGTTCAAAAACAGATTTCTGAAATGAAATTCCAAGCAATATAAATATAAGAAGAAAGTCAATACAAAGCTAACCATACCCAGATTCCTAAGGCTCAGTAACAGAAACAAATCTAGAAATTATGAATTACATAATACATAGGAAAATAAAGATAAACTGTCATTAAGTATACATTAAATAAAAATAAATGAAGCCAGGCGTGGTGGCGCATGCCTGTAGTCCCAGCACTTGGGAGGCAGGGGCAGGCGGATCCCTGTGAGTTTAAGGCCAGCCTGGTCTACATAGTGAGTTCCAGGACAGCTGGGGCTACAGGGAGACCCTACTTCAAAAAGACAAAAAAAAAAAAAAAAAAAAAAAAAAAAAAAAAATACAGATCTTTTATTTCAAGTTGGTATTAAACTTAGCTCTAAGATAAAATAAAATAATACTCTAATACAAAATGTCTTAAGAAAAAGAGCATAAAACAAAACACAAGGAAAAAAGAGAAAGGCAATTTCTTAGTCTCACTTAAATGATGATACACTGCCTTGTTACAGCCTGAAAGCAATGGGTCTGCTGCATCATAAACCAAAAGCACTGGGGCTTTGAGTAATCAGCATGCTCTGAGCAATCAGGACTAACCACTGCTTGGTGAACCTCTAGTTGAGGCAAGACGGTTGGCCACAACAGTGCTTTCTTCCATTTACTATTAATTTATAAAATATCACTATAATTTTCTCTTTTTAATGAAGAATCAATCCTGCATTAGTAGTCCTTAAGGATAACACTTCCTTATATGGAAATTTCAAGTCATAATTTTCAGAAAACTTTAAAAGATACACAAAATTTCTTATTTTAAGGATTAAAAATGGGGGGCTGGAGAGATGGCTCAGTGGTTAAGAGCTCTGACTGCTCTTGCAGAGGACTTGGGTTCAGTTCCCAACACCCAACATGGTAGCTAACAACCATCCACAACTCCAGTTCCAGGGGATCCAACACCCTCTTCTGACCTCCACGGGCATTACATGGACATGGGTACACTTACACACATGTAGGCAATACACTCATAGACATAAAATAAAAATAATAAAATAAATTTTAAAAAGAATTAAAAATTGTTTCTGGAGGTTAGGGAGATGACTCAACAGGTAATAGCACTTGCTGCTAAGGACTTAAGTTGGGATCCCAGCAGCCATTTAATAAGCTGGACATGTCCCTCTGAGACTATAACCCCAGTACTGTGGGAGGTGAGGACCTGAGGATCACTATGCCACCAGCCTAGTTCTGGGTTCAGGGAGAGACCCTTTCTCAAAGGAGTAAGGTGGAGAATGACAGGATAAGATGCCCAGTTATCCTCTTCTGACCTCCAGACAAGATGTGCATGTACCACATATACCCTCATAGAAAACGAATGGTTTGTCATGGGAATGTGGCTCAACAGTAGAACATTTGCTTAGCATGGACAAGAGTTGGAACTTTAGCAAGGTCAAAAGAAAAAAGTTTCTTTTTCCTACTTAGTATTAATTCAACTGCTTTAATGAACAAAATAACATGTTTCATAAATAATACTCATTTTTAAACACAAAAATCTGAGTGAATCTTAAATATACAGCCTTGCCGTATATATTTTATCAATTTTATAAGTAAAAAGTTAATGTATGGTATGGTATGGCATGGTATGACCCCTGAAGTACATTAAAAAAATAATTTGGAGCTGGAGAAATGGTTAAGACCACTTGCTGCTCTATCAGAAGACTGGAGTTCAAATCCCAGCACCTACATCAGGCAGCTTCTCCAGCTGTAGGAAATTTAATCCCTCTTCTGGCCTCCATGGGTACTCAAACACATAGACACACACTAAAATAAAGAATAATCCATTTTAAATATATTGAAAGATTATTATTTTTTTTATTCACCAGAGGTTAGGGAGAGTAGTAGGGAAGAGCAAGGTTAGTCACAGCTACAGTGTTAGAGTCGGACTGAGTAATGAATGTGGGCATCCTACTGCACAGTAGGGTGACTACTGGTAACAGTAAAGCATTTCATATCACAAAACAGCTAACAGAGATTTTGAATGCACTCATAAAATTTGAGGTGATACATATGCTAATTACTATGATTTGATCATTAGACAATGTATACATGAAAGCAAATATCACATTTGTATCCCATTAACCTACACAATTATTATGTATCAAAAATAAAAACAAAAAAAAAATCTAAAAAACATATTCAAAGTAAAACCTGGAGTCAGGCGTGGTGGCGCACGCCTGTAGTCCCAGCACTTGGGAGGCAGAGGCAGGCGGATCTCTGTGAGTTCAAGGCCAGCCTGGTCTACATAGTGAGTTCCAGGACAGCTGGGGCTACAGGGAGACCCTGCTTCTAAAAAACAAAAAAACAAAAAACAAAAAACAAAAAAAAAAGACAAGCAAGGTGGCTCAGTGGTTAAGAGCACTGGTTGGCCTTGCAAGCAGACCCAGGTTCAGTTCTCAGCACATACATGGCAGCTAACCACCATCCATAACTCCAGTTCCAGGAGATTTGACAGTCCTCTTGTGGGCTCTGTGAGCACTAACATACACATGGTGCACTTATATACATGAAGGCAAACATTCATATACATAAATAAAAGTAATTTTTTAAGGCAAACAAATAAATAACCATACTAAACTTTGGAATATCAAAGTAGAACAACAGAAAGAGAAAACACGAATTTGATATCAGATCTAAAATCAGTCTTAGCTCTATCAGTTATTAACAATAGACTGTACAAAAGTTATCTGACAGCCTTCTCTAATAAATAAATATAAGCAAAAACAGAAAACTGAGACTACATTTGTAAATGGGCATACAATAAGCACCAAATAAGCAGTTTTCCTTTTATCTTCAATATTTTCCCCTGTAGTCACTTAGAAGAGGAAATCATTTCACTCAACTGACTAAAACTAGATATGAGCAATGTAAAGCATTTACTGCAATTAGGCTAGTCAAATGCAAGAGGAAAAGGGACTATTTTCTTTAGTAAGGATAAATTATTTAATAAAGTTTCCAATAAAACTTTTAAAAGCCAAAAATGCCTTTTTTATTAAAATAGTAGCAGTTAGTATGTGTAAGACCCTGTAGTCAAGCCTCAGCATCAACAAAAAACAGTAGCTGTACATACCACTCTCCACAGTGCACAGCTTTTAGCACTCCAACAGCAGCTGTAGTCTGTCGTTCAAAACCTTGTCCTATATGATCTGCATGGGCTCTTGTTCTGTCTTCAAAGAGCATCTCCCGAGGCTCACTGGTTCGAGGTAGGTACTGAAGGTTTTTTATTTCATTGGTAGTTCTATTTTTAAAAGAGATTTTCATTTAAATATTCAGGCTTACTTCCTAGAAAACAGTCAATTATCACATAATTTCAGACTAAAGGAAATATTATATACATCACCTGTCTCAAATCAAGTTCAATTTTTTAAATGAATAAAGACAAAAATACATATAAAAATTCCCTTTTTTGGAAAACCTTTCACAATGTGGTAGTCAGGAAAAATTTACTTGGAAAAGAAATTAAATCACAGATGGTATAGCTTAGCCAGGTTTATCTACACAGCAGTCCTCTCCTAATTGTAGTTGGCCTGCTTAGTTGCCCAGCTTCTGGTTCAGAAACCTACAGCTGCCCATAAACTCATGGATATAGGGCCACCTGCTGGAGCATGGTCAATCTACCCGAGGGCCACCCTTAAAGAAAGCTGACTCTCCCTTTCCCAGAAACCATTGGTTTTCAGTACCTTCTTCTCAGTTATGTATAGGGAGATCATGAGATATGCCCCCATGCTAAAATGTTGACTGGCTTAACCTTGTACAAGTAACCATAATTGCTGTGAGTTTATGAGTGTAGTGGTCCTACCATGTCTAGGAGACACTGTTTTGTTCTGGGTTTCCAACACCTAGCTCTTTCTTTCTGCCCACTCTTCCACAATGGTCCCTGAGCCCTGGGAGGAAGGTGGTGGTACTGATATCCCATTTGTGGCTGAGAAATCCACAGATACATACTCTTTGCACTTTGACTAGTTGAGAGTTTCTGCATTTCTAATGTCCATTGAAAAAAAACATTTATTTTTTTAAATATTTTATTCATTTTTTTAAATCATTTAAAAAAATTTAATAACTACATGATTAGAAGAAGCATTTCATTACAGCTTTAACATAATCAGTAACACACTCCAGAGCAAGAGTACATCTCTTTCACAAGTGGCTGTAAGTTTCTAGGTTCACAGTTGAATTAATAGTTATACAATATTGAACTCAGTGTAATACCTGTAAGACATAAAATTGAATGAGTTTTTAACCTTTAAAAAAGATCTGCATTTCATTTTACAATATATTGTTCCTTGCAGAAAGACTCATTGTTTTTGCTACGAAAGCTGAGACGTGTGTTCATGCAACGCTAATCTGTATGTATCTGATTATTACTAGTCATAATCGGTTGCACTTGGATCCTTGGTCCCTGTGTATGTCTATAAAGTCATTGAGTAAATTTCAGTGGTAATGTTTATCACCTCTACTGATTAACATGACATAAATTTCCATGCTTCCTCCTCTAATATATATTTTAATTTGTTGATTTGTGTGTGTGTGTGTGTGTGTGTGTATCACACAGAACATCCCAAACCATCTTATTCAACTATACACCCACTTTCCAGATAGCACCCTCCCATAACCTCCCTCCCCCCAATAGAGCTCTTACACTCTGATATCCCTGCTACCATCTGCTGTGTTGTCGGCACCCCCAGCCATTCCCCACTACTTGTCCATCCAGTGAAACTAGTCAGCCTATCAGAGGTCTTTGTTTTAGGAAGGTCAGCTGTTCCTCATCTAGCAGCAATTAGTTGCCCTTGTTTCCTAAGCAATTGATGTCCAGTTTAGAAAATCCTTTCTTACACCTATATCTAGCAGGCTTTCCCCCAATGTTTTCTTCAAACAGTTTCAGAGTTTCAGGCTTTACATTGAGATCTTTGATCCATTTGGAATTGCCCTCTGTGCAGAGTGAAAGATAGGGGTTTAGTTTCATTCTTCTACAGGTGGAGATCCAGTATTGCCAGCACCATTTGCTGAACATGCTGTCTTTCCTCTGGTAAATATTCTTAGCTCCTTTGTCAAATATCAGGTGGCTGAAATTGCATTTACCCATATTTGGGTCTTCAATTTTGTTCCATTGACCTATGGGTCTATTTTTGTGCCAGTACCATATTGTTTTTATGACCTTAGCTCTGTAATACAGTTTAAAGTTTGGTATAAAAATCTCCCCAGCATTTCTCTTAGTGCTCAGGGTTGCTTTGGCTATCTGAGGGATGGTCATTTTAACAATATTAATTCTTCCAATCCATGAACATGGGAGGTCCTTCCATCTCCTGGTGTCTTCCTCAATCTCCTTCTTTAATGATTTAAAATTTTCATTGTAGAGATCTTTAGTGTCTTTGGTGAGATTTATTCCAAGATATTTTAATTTTTGGAGCAATTGCAAATGGGAGCATTTCCTTGTATTCTTTTCTCCATTTGCTTATTATTGGTATATAAAAAGCCTACTGATTTTTGTAGATTGATTTTATAACTTGCCACCATACTGAAAGTGTTGATCAGTTCCAGGAGTTTTCTGGTGGAACTTTTGGTATCTATTAGGTATAATATCATATAATCTGCAAAGATTGATAGTTTGACCTTTTCTTTTCCAAGTAGTACTCCTTTAATTTCCTTCTCTTGTATTATTGCTCTAGCAAGAGTGTCAAGTCCTATTTTGAAAAGGAGTGGAGAGAGTGAACATACTTGTCTGCTTCCTGATTTTAATGGGAATACTTCCAGTTTTTCTCCATTTAGAATGATGTTGGTTTTGGGTTTGTTATATATGGCTTTAATTATGTTGAGGTATGTTCCCTCCAGTCCACTTCCCTCTAGAACTTTGAACATAAATGCCATGTTGAATTTTGTGAAAGGCCTTCTCTTCATCTATTGAGCATGTGGTTCTTGTCATTGAGCCCATTTATATGAGCCCATTTGTATGATTTATGACGTTTATTGACTTACATATATTGAAACATCCCTGAATCTCTGGAATAAAGCCAACTTGATCATGTTGGATGATCTTTGTGATCTGTGTCTGTATACAGTTTGCAAGTATTTTGTTGAATATATTTGCATCTATGCTCATTACGGATAAGTGTCTTTAATTTTCTTTTTTTATGCTATCTGGCTTCAGTATTAGTGAGATGCTGGCTTCATAGAAGGAATTTGGAAGTTCTCCCTCCATTTTTTTTGAATAAATTAAGTAGTATTGAATATAGATCTTCTTTAAATGTCTGACAGAATTCTGCTGTAATCCATCTGGTCCTGGCCTTTTTTTACTCGGGAGGTTTTGTATTAGTGTTTCCATTTCTTTTTGTGTTATGTGTCTGTTTAAGCTGTTAATCTCTTCTTGGTTTAGTTTTGGTGGTTCCCATGCCTTTAGATATCCATCCATTTCTTTTACATTTTCAAAGTTAGTAGCATAAAGGTTTTTAAAGTATCCCCTTATAATGTTCTGTATCTTTCTGGGGTCTGTTGTGATGTTTCCCCTTTCATATCTGATTTTGTTGATTTGGGGGGGTGCTCTTTCTTTTGGTTAACTGGGCTAGCACTCTGTCAATCTTGTTTATCTTTTCAAAAAAGCAGTTCTTGGATTTGTTGATTCTTTGGATAGTTTTCTTTGTTTCAATTTCATTAATTTCTGCCCCGGTTTTTGTTATTTCTTCTTGTCTGCTGGGTTTCAGTTTTGTTTGTTGTTGCTTTTCAAGTTTCTTGAGTTGCAACGTTAAGTCATTTATTTGTGTTCTTTCCGATTTTTTGATGTAGGCACTTAGAGCTATAAACTTCCCTCTAAGGATAGCATCCAGCATGTTTTGTTGTGTTGTACTGTCCTTTTCATTTAATTCCAGGAATACTTTTATTTCTTTCTTAATTTCTCTTTTGACCCATTCGTCATTCAGGAGTGTTGTTTAATCTCCATGTGTTCATGTGGTGACTAGAGCTTCTTCCATTGTTCATCGCAAGCTTTATTGCAATGTGGTCTGATAGAATGCATGGAATTATTTCATTCTTTTTGTATGTGCTGAGGTTTGTTTTGTGCCCCAGTAAATGGTCGATTTTGGAGAAGGTTCCATGGGGTGCTGAGTAGAAAGTATGTCCTTTGGTGCTTGAGTGGAATACTCGGTAGATGTCTGTTAAGTCCATTTGATATATGGTATTGTTTAATTCAGATGTCTGTCTGTTAACTCTGTCCTGTTGACTTACCTAATGGAGACAGAGGGGTATTGAAGTCCCCTACTAGTAATGAGTTGGGATTAATCTGGGTCTAAATGTCCTGTAGTACTGTTTTTATGAAGTTGGGTACACCAGAGTTCGGTGAATATATGTTCATGATTGTAATATCTTCTTAGTCAGTTGTTCCTTTGATCAGAATGAATTGGCCCTCTTTATCGCTTCTGATTAGTTTTAGTCTGAAGCCTATTTTGTCAGATATTAGAATTGCAATTCCTACTTTTTTCTTAGTACCATTTCCTTGGAATATTTTTTCTATCTTTCACCTTAAGATAGTGCCTATTCTTGAAAATGAGATGGGTTTCTTGCAGACAACAGAAAGATGGGTTTTGTTTCTTAATCCATTCACGTAATCTGTGTCTTTTAACTGGGGATTTCAGTCCATTAATATTTAAAGTCATTAATGAAAGGTGAGTATTGAATCCTTTCATTTTTATTTCTACTTACATTTGTCATGTAGCTGTACTTTTCCACAGTCATTGGAATTCTTTCTGCAACCCCTTGGGTATAGTCATTCCTTTCTTCAGCTCTTTGTATTGCTTCCAGAACTCTTGGAAGGGCTGGTTTTGTGGACACGAACTCCTTCAGCCTATTTATGTCATGGGAGATTTTTCTTTCCCCTTCGACTATAATAGACATTTTGGCTGGGTATAGTAATCTGGGTTGGCATCTGTGGTCACTTAAAACTGGGAAGACTTTGGTCCAGGCTCTTCTGGCTTTCATAGTTTGCACTGAAAAGTCAGCTGTAATCCTAATGGGTTTTCCTTTATATGTGACTTGTTGTTTCTCTTTT